CCCACCAAAAGGGAAAGCAGGACTCTGACTTTAATGAGAAAGGGATCCAGGGACCTGGGATATGCAGCCATCCCTCACTGTTCCTACTGAGGGTAGAACATTCTCCTCACCTTCCTGACAGGAATTCCACAGATTGACTGAGAGCACTCACCTAAAAATCAAAGCAGGTCTGGAAGAACTGAGAGTGATGGAATAATGCTACATAAATTCCTGTCCAGGAGAAAGAACTGGATCTCATTGGCTACTAGGCTCTGGGAAGCAAGCTGCTAGTTTGGGCTTGGGCAGCTGAAAGAGGGAGATGGATGACATCAGTCTTGACCTGACCTTTGAAGGACTTTAGAAGCTGGAAGGGATCTTAGTGGTGTTGATATTTCCTCCCCATTTTAAGGATGAGAAAATTAAAGTCAGAAGTTATGTCACTTGCCCAAAGTAACACATGTAACAATTACTGAGAAAAATATCATCAAGGTTAAAAGCCCTCACATCTCAAAGAGCACTCCAGTTTTTTTCTCCACAGAGCATTTCATATTTGAAAGGTGAAGAGCCTCAGAAGGACCTTCCAAGCCAGGGAAAGGGAGTGAAGAGATAGGCAACATCTCCTAGGGCCTGGAAGCCATGGGTACAGGGCTGAACTGGAGGCGGGTAACTTGGATCAGCTTGGTGGAGATGCATCATGCACAACAATCTAATTTTATCCCAAGGAGCCTCCGAGGAGAGGAGGGATGAAACTAATGCCTGCAGAAGATTTTTAAGGAAGATAGCTTTTATAACTGTAACTGTATTTTCTTTAAATTTTGAAAAATGTCCTGTTGAGTAAATCAAATTGGTCCTATTAAGCTTTAGCTAAACATACTCTTAAAAGGATCAGACAACACTTTAGTCTAACATAGTTTAATGAATTCAAAATCTAAACTTTGTAGCTTGAAATTTCCTTTGGGCCCAGTAAACAGTGAGCAAAATTTCTGCAAGAATTCAGAGATGGTCCCTTAGACAGGAAGACCATGAAGTCAAAGGTAGAATTCTAAGACGTTTAAGTTGCTCAGTCCCTAGGCTCAGATCCCAACCCTCTAATACACGGAATTAGAAAAGTGTGGCAGTCCCCAGTGAGATATAATGCGATTCTTAATGCTATCAGGGAGCAAGGAGCAATTTTTCTTTGATGAACATGAAGCAAGGATATAAGGCCCTAAGTGAACAACGCTAAGTGCACCAGCTGCTGTCAATCAATATTTTGACCATTAATACTCATCCAGGCTTTTAGTCCAGTTTAAATGAATATCACCACGGGTTATATTTTAAAACAGTTATGGATTCTATCCCTTCAATTTTGAAATTGCACGAGTTATGGAATGTCATGAGAAACAAGTACCCATTAGGATCCCTGGTGAAGCGAAAATAATGCTTCCACTAATTTTTAAAAGCATCCTGTGATCCTTAATAATGAGAGAAAAGATACTTTTTATATAAGGAATTACCTGTATTTGGAATATGAGATTTATTTCCAATCAACCCAGAGACAAGTTAATCACCACACATGGTTTTTCTTGGTTCTACAACCCTTCATATGATATTTTAGAGCAAACAAATTAAAAGTTGTTTCTAATCATAACTATAAAAGAGAAGTTAAACCTTCTGCATGGTCACTTTTCCCATCATTTTCTCTAATTGTTCATTTTGGAAGCCTTTGATCCCTGGAATTTTTAAACTGGATTCCCAACCACACTGATTAAACATATCTACATCTGTTAAGTCCTCTAAAGGGCATTTGACACATGTCAACTGAATGCCAGGGGAAGAGCAGTTGGGGGACTGAGTAGGGAGATTACAGGAAATTTGGTGCTTTGGGAAAAGACTTCTGGTTTTTGACATGGGGTGAACAACATGATATACCAAAAGTGAATGAGAGCAGAGACAACACCCAGAGAAGAGGGGTAGGTGTTAGGCAAGCTCTTGGATGAGCCCTAGGAGCAAGACCACGGAATCTCACATGCTTCATTACAAGTCTGCATGGCAGAGATGGTGAGTCACAGGATTCTCTTAAATGTCATCTCCTTGAAAAGGGATATTTAAAAGCCCAAGTTGCAAATGTAGTTGGCTTTCTTTCTCTCTCGTTGGTTATCAACATGTCCCCAGCGGAGTGCCTGCAAAAATATAAGAGTTCCATCCTCACATGGAAAAAGAGATATGTATACTTTTATCCCAAAATTTTATTTTTGTTTTGGAGGGGGACTCCTGGTAAGGAGAACCTATGTGACCAATCTTGAGGGGGTAAACAGCAGGAGGAAGCATCTGGATTGCAGAGACACATCCTCCCTCCTGGAAGGTCACTGGAAGAATGTTCTTGTTTTTAAAGTTCTCAGCATCTTTTAGTAAAGAGATATGGTTTGAATCCCAGCTCAGCAGCTAAAGAATGACATGACCTTCACCACTCCAAGTCTTTATTCCTACGTCTGCAAAGGGAGGATATTAGGCTTGTGTTCTCTAAGGCTTCTTTCTCATCTATGAGTTCCAAATTCATTTACAGATACCAGGCAATTAATTCACTTGGAATTTCCTATCCCCTTGTGAGTAAAAAAAGTGTGTAGTAGAGTTCCTCTTTTTCCTCTGTTATAGTTCCAAGCTATTTTATTACATCCCTGACAGAAAGTCCCTAATGAACATTTCAGATATAATATTTAGATCATCCCTGAAGAAGAAACACAAGAAGTCACTCCATATGCATGGTTTTCAAAGACTGTCCTGCAAGATGAAAATGAAGAGTTTTTGCTAATATATTAGAATGCATGATAGACATGGACTCTACCATGAGTGGCTATTTGGTTTGGGGAAGTCACTTCACTTTGCTGAGATTAATTTTCTGCCTCTGAAAAATGAAGAAGTTGGAGAAGATCCTCTTAAATTCCCACAGTTATGATTCTGACAACAAAAATTAAACAACACTAAAATATGTCTTTTCATTGATTTATATAGCTCAAGATAACTAAAAAAGATACTCAAAATTCTATTAATGGAATATATGTACATATATGTAAATACATATCGAATTTTATGATTTTTTTATATTGCACTGGTTCAGAACTTGCTTTCAAATAAAAAAAGCTCATGAAAGGAGCACAGAAATTAGACAGCTCAAACCAATTCCACATTTATAAACTTTAAGCCTAAACTGCCTTAAGAGTATACCTTAAAGAAATGCTCTCTCAACAATAATGCACAATGCACTCCTATTTTATAATTTTAAAATACTAAAATATCTTGTAGAGTTCTTGAGGATGAAAGGTAATCTGGAATTTTCCAAGTTCACTTTAGAAATTATGAATACAAAATGTGTCTGAATTCTAGTAATTCACCAAAATTTAATCAGAAATTAATGCCATCAAAATTTAATCAGACTATCTGCTTACCATAGATAAGCTGAAATTGGTAAATGAGTCAGGGTTTTGGCAAATTTGGGTTTTGAAGAACTCTTTCCATCTAATAAAGGTTGATAACCTTAAATCTGTGGTGTTTTGCTAAAGTATCCATAGCTCTCTAATATGATGCTACATGGTTTCTGGCTTCCCAGAGTTTGTCCTATTCCCTTGTCGATTATTTATTAGTTCAGACAGAAAGATTCCAGTCCACTGATGATGGAAAAGGGCTAATGCAGGAGTCCGGGCCTTCGTCTCCAACAGCATCACCTCCCTTCTCTTGGGTTATTTCTCTTCTGATTATGACACCCGCCTTTCCAATTTTTACTGTGTGCTTTAAGACCCTTAATACAAAGGAACTGAAGGTGCTCTAAGTGGATTAGCACATTGACTTCCTGAAAAGAAATTACACTGCTTGGCCTAGAACTTTGGCCTTATACCTCAAGTATCTCCCAGCAGGCTCTAGTTAAGGCACAGGATTTCTTCTGTTCTCAGATCACATTACACATTGTTGACCTCAGGATATCACGTGGGTAGCATATCAAATGTGCATTCATTTTGTTCCATGAACCTCAGGGATAAAAAGGCTTCAAGAATTCCAGAATGAGGGAAACTCAGAAAGTATGTTCTTTGCTGTGAATTACAGCAAGGGCTTACTTGTTTCCATTGTATTCAAAGTTCCTGCTGGGTATTAGGCTGAGGCAGGTATGGCAAAGCCAACAGTTCGATCAGTGACATCAGTTTAAAAACCACTCGTGTCCTGCATCTTACTTTAAAAGATGATAGTACAGCCTGGCTAATCTATGCCATATTTTATCCAACTTCCTGAAGGGATGACATGGTGGGATTGTACAAAAAGAGCAATATTTGGGGAGTTTGAAACTTCCGACAAATGCTTTTCCACACCTTGGCTTCCAAAAAAGTAAAATGAAAAAGACACGTGGCAAATATAACTACTACTGATGACAATTTTAAATTAGAATGTCTGAAATCAGGCTGATGAATGTAAAGTATTGCATAAGGAAACCCTAGTGTATTTATAATACCTTCGAGTCTAAGAAAATAAAGCATCCTTCAGATAATCAAAAAGGATTTAGATGCAATGATTGCCTCAGAAGGGGTGGGGTCTGTTTCTGCAAAATTTCTTCTTGAAAGAAGTGGACAGGAGAGGGCTTTACTCCTTCCAATGTTCAATGAAGTTATTTCTAGAACTTCACACAGGCTCTCAGGGCGAGAGCATGAAGGCTGCTCTTTGTGATCGCAGGACCATCGCTTCCCAACATCATTACAGAAACAAACAGCGAGCCTAGTTTGCCTCCCCACATGATAAGGGACCCACAGCTGTCAACAGACTGGCATTATGTGCTCCCCAAGAACATGACCATGACATTTGCTCCTGTGACAAGGCAAATTTCGGCAGCTCGTCTGGAAAGAGATTAGCATTCATCAGGCTGCAAGCACCCTTCATCAAGTTAATGACATTTCAATCAGCACATTTTCTCCAGTTTCGGTACTTTGCCATCTGAGCACAAGTCTCTAATTACGCCCAAGCAACAAGTCTCACATCAATCCCACCATTTATACACTCACCGTACACCATCGCTCCTCCGGTTTCATGCAAGAAGCGGAATCGATGATTTTTAAATAACCAGATTGTCAAAATGGTAAGGATGAGCAAAAAATTAAAGACAAGCAGCTCGACCGCTCCCTGATGTTGAAACTGAGACTCATCCTTCTCTGACAGAAACCTTTGCTGCCTCTCCATTCTCCTGTCCTGTTGGGATTCCTGAGATAAAATCCTGGAGCAGGCTGGTTTGTCAAGATCTGCCTAAGACAGCCTGACTGCCTGAGAATTTCAGAATAAACACTGCCACTTTACTTGCTACTTTACAAGCATTCTGCCCTGGCTTAATATTCAGATGGCTTCTAGTTACAACTTCCTGTTTCTCTCTTAAAGCAGCCTCGTCTCTTTTCAAACTCCAGAGGGTGGTTTCATCATGACTCCTGCTGTCTTCAAATGATTCATTCCATGAAAAATGTCTTTCCGAGTGGGCAAGCTGCAAGCAACAATTCTGAGTTGCTTGAGTCACGTCTTAGGGTTTCAAACAAGTTTGCTTAAGCTGAGCATCTGGCGAATTGTAGATTAATGATAAAAAAAAAAGTTCACCTTACATCAGCAACATTTTCTAGGTTCAAAAAGGCAATGTGGGGTTCTTAACCTCACCCACACTTGAGGTCTTTCCTCTGCCATCAGAATCTGCCAATGTGAAGTGGATGGGTTGCTCGGGGGTGACCTGCAATGCTTTTAGGATTTTTTTTTTCTTTTTTTTAAAGTTGGGAAGCATGAATTTAGTATGCAACTCTTTGTTTAGCTTCTTATACTTGGTAGTCAGAGAGCAGCATTTAAATTCTGAATCAATTGTGTTAACAAGAAAAATAAAAGCTAAGTCAAAAAAGAAAATTCTATCCTTGTCTCTAACTGTGCCATTTAATTATGTTGAACCAAGAAAGAAAGAAAGAAAGAGAGAGAGAGAGAGAGAGAGAGAGAGAGAGAGAAAAGAATAGAAAAGGAAAGGAAAAAAGTAAAAGCAAAACAGTATAATTGATGCATGGATGGGTTTTTCCTTCAACATTAGGCTTCTGGCCCTCACCTCCAAGACCCTCAGAAATCTGTGGCTGATGACAACCTCCTCTGACCCTGGTCCCAGATGAATGGTGCTACCCCAGCACTGAAGGTTCCAGAATCACAAGAGCCTATTGTCCATTTGGCAGGTTGGTTCTGGTTGATTTTATACTTCTATGCTTTTTGAAATGTATCGAATCAAGACGATAGTACCTAACATGGTCTCTGCTGCTCTTTTAGCCAATGTTATGACCTGCTTGCCTTTAAAATGGATCCCATAATGCAATGAGATGTATACTGGGGTTAAGTGTGGGTTTTCTTCATTTCACCACATCATGGTAACATAGGAGTATTAATCATCAGGATTTGCATTTGGATAGAATTAGCATTTGATTTATACAATGTGATTCATTGAGTAGGCAGAGCCCAAATACATCAGGAAAAGTTCACTGTCACCAAGAGGTAGAGGACAAACACATAATAGCGCGGGAGCTGACTACCTCCCGATGAACAGTTCCGCCCTCAGAGAGTTTATCAACCACTTAACATAAAACTCTGCTGTATCAGCTTCTTGGCCTTCTGCAACTTAGAGGCTGATTTCCTCTTTGAGTTGAGCTCGGCAGGGGGTATTTATGAGCACCACAGATGTGCTCCCAACGCACTACCCTTTTTGGCAGGCACTTCTGTGATGACTAATATCCAACGATTTTGAAACCTGTCAGCTAATTCTTGCAAGCATTTCATGGAGCTTGCTAGCAGGTTCCACCTTTATAATTCTGCAACCCCACAGGTTGAGTCTTGAGTTGTTAGATTTACAAGATAACGCACACATGCAAAACCTGGGAGCTTCCTGTTCTTTTTGTTTATTTGCTTGTCTAATCATTAAATTACTTTGGTTTTCTTTCATTGCAACTATGCTACTCTGCAAAATAATCTGAGTGAAATAAAATTTCCTTGGTTGTTGTATGACATCCAATTTCACTCTCCTACCCAATGCAGAGACTCAGCAAGAGGATTAAAAATTCCCTGCACTATTTTGATTGGTTTATACATTGTTTTTAAAAGTCTGAATTTGATGTCAACATATTGAAATTAGTGGATTTTACATAAAAATCACACATATAACTTCTTGTGAAAGAACATGTAAGATGGGGCCTCCTGGCCCTCCTCACGTGGCCACAGCTGGTTAGGGATGAGTGGCCAGCCTGCACCAGCACATTCATCCCCCTTCACTCACTCCTGGTCTCTGTGTGGTTCCTGCATACATTCGACTGTGTGGTCTCTTGGTTTTTCAGGAATGGAATCCACTCACTATTCTATTTCCTGATTCTGATCCTGCTTAACACTGGGGTAGAAAGCTGAGAAGAGGGTGCTCAGGAGAGTTCTTTCATTCTTTCACTCAGAAAAATCATTGGGCTTCTCCTATTTTGTACTTTCTTCTCAGAATATTGGGTTTTTGTTCTGATGTACCAATAACAGTAAGATAATGAATTAGAAATGCATACCACTGAAGCATTACTGAAGACTAGGAAATATGTTAGGGAAGTAAATTTAGTCTAATTTAATATTCAGAAAACCATTCTGCAGATGAGAATTTTAAGGCTCAGATGAGGTTGCTACCATATCCAAGGCTGCTCAGAGAGTAAAAATTACAATTGTATGTGAGGTTTAATGGCCTTAAGATGGCATTTCAGCTAGTATGATGAACTCATTCTGGCTTGTCAAAGACTTTCCTGATTTTAGTGCTGAAAGTTCTATGTTCTAGGAATCCCATCAGTCCCAGGAAAACAGGGACAGCTGATCACCCTAACTCTCCATATTCCTAAATCCTATACTGTCAATAATAACTCTTCTTCATGAAATTCCCAAAAGAGAGATTCACACAAGGAAGAATGTCGTATAAAAATTAAGGCACTGCTTATTGGACCATAACCCTTAGTGCCAGTTTCGCTCATGAAATTGAGATGGAACCTAAAACTTAGGCACAAGGCCCAGAGAAATCACTGGTCATTGTTAAATCCTAGTCATGACACCCACTGCCCACTGAAGGGGAGGTTCTTGCTGCCAGATGCAGTATGCAAATGAGTAGCAGCAAAGATAAAGAACAGAAAGGCCCAGCCTTTTGTGATCAGTATACCCTGTCTCTGCAGGACCCTCAGCCCCAGTAGAACAAAGACCAGAAGAGAGGAGCCTTCCAAGTGGTGGAACCTGGGGTAGCACAGCAATCCCACCCACTAGGTAAAGTGGTCCGATCGGCTTTGCAGAATCTAGCCAATCACCTGGAAGCACTTGCTCTATTAAGAGAAGAGTGGGTTTCGAGATTAGGGGGTAGAGCAGAAAAGCATCCCCCTTGTTGGGGAGACAGGTCAAGGCAATTCTGGCATTGTCCCTGTGATCTTGTCATGTCAGTCYTATGCCATCAAAGGGGGTGATGGCCTTACATCTAAGGTCTTAGAAATGAGTAAGGTCCCTGATGGACACCCTCGATTGCTAGCTCAGGCCCTTCTCGTCCTGTTTTTTTACAATCTCTCTTTCTACCCATAGATCTTTGTCCACAGCCCCTCACCCCTTTCATCTGGAGATGGCTTCGCTTCAGTAGCAATAATAAGCGTCAACCCATCAGTCCCCTCTTCTGTCTTGCACATCTCGAAGGGTCAGTTAGGGGGAAAAATCAGCCCATTATTTCTCACTTTGTTTGGACTCTGCTGGCTCTACAAAAGCAGAGGTCAGTGAGGCCAGTCACAGTGGTTGGAGCTTGTCCCTAACCCAGGATGGAGGCTTCAGGGATAGAATGAAATATGAGCCAAGGTCAGGGAGGAGAAGATGGAGAGACTCTAAGATGCAGGTTGTTTTAGCTCCAAATTCTTGAAATCCAAGACTTGAGAAAATTCATTTCTTTGATCTACCATTAAGAGTCCACATGACAAATTCACCTGTTTCTTAGTACAAAACTTCTATTCTGTCTCACAAACTAATAACTCCAACCTCCTTAGCTCAAAGAGGCTTTGTCCCATCACTTCTCTGTGTTAAGTTATATTTTTGTGGGAACTAACAAAGAAGGGTACCAGGCTGCTCATCTCTCCAAAGAGAGAAAAGACACAGGAGAGAAGGCAGAGCCCCAGACAAGGAAGCGCTGAAATATTTTCTGGAATGAAGTATGTAAATCCCAAGCAGATTTTAACAGTCACCTCTTTGTCCCTTCTAAATCAATTCCAACTCCAGCCTTGAAGACAGCTTCCATTGGGCAATGTATTAATTCAGGTCCCCTTGTTATGGAGCTGGGGCCTTCTGAGAAACTGAGGCACCACAAAGACACCACCAAGTCTCATGACCAAATCAGAAAGATTTCAGATATGTCACTCAGAGTAATTGGATGAGTTTATTGGAGAGCTAAGGAAAAGAGAAAGGGGATACCCTTAAGGGAGAAAGTGGATCTTTCTCAGAGGAGAGGGACAGCGTGCCTCTACTGCACTCCAGTTTTACTGGGGTCCCAGAGAAGTTTCCAGAGAGTCCTGCACAGGTCCACTTCTTGACTTCTGACTGACAGCCGGGTGACTTCAGACATTCAAGTCCCCACTGACATGGCAACTCTAGGTCACCTTGACACCTGCTAACCAGTTCTAATTGAATTCTTAACCATACATTCTTACAGATTTTTAGGTTAGAAGGAACTATCCTTATCTCACAAGAGTTTCAGAATCTGGTCATAAGTCTTCTCCTTCAGGGCACCTTGGGTTCTTCTTATCAACATTATTCTGAGCCTGCATTTCTCCTGCAGTGAATAGGTAGTTTGCTGAGGAATGTAACATATCCTGTTCACTGAGGCCAGGCAGGGCTGCGGGTAAATTGCTTCTCAGAAAAGAAAGCATGTGGGGKATCAGCAGAGTGGGCCTGGTTTATAGAATTATTCTCTTAATGTCAGGTTCCCCCCATTCACATCTGTCTATCCCCTCACAACCTCAAAAGTCCTGAGAGGACTTGGTGCAGATATTTAATTACAGACAATCCCAGGTATCACCAGCAAGGGCATCTGCAAAAAGACTAGGTAATGCCATTTTTCAGAAACAATATTTTAATTTTCATTGTAGCCTAATCTATTCCTCACTTCATCCACATCTTTTTTGGGATCCATGCACTTTAGCTTTAAAAAACTCAATTTATAAATATGCTCAAAAACACCCCTTAAGTAACACCTAGGATGAATTT